GCAGCAATTAAAATGCCATGAACAGTACAAACTACAAAAAAAAAAAAAAAACAGATTCAGAAAACACACGCAGGTAATTTTGGAGGTACACCTTTAAAACCCTGCACTCATTCAGAAATGGATTCTCATAAACAAGGTTAATGAAAAGCACTTCACATTTTCTTATTTTTAAAAGGCGTTTATTTATTCTACCGAAATTATTTTGTTGCTACGGTGTGCCAACGAGTTGGTTCCAATTCACAGTGACCCTAAATAGGGTTTCCAAGGAGCAGCTGGTAGATTTGAATGGTTGACCTTGTGGTTAGCAATTCAATGCTCATCCTACAGCATCAAACCAAGACACCAAAATGAGTTTACCCAAATCAAAAACCAAACCTGTTGTTGTCAAGTCTAGCCTCCTCTTAGCAACCCTACATGTCAAAATAGGACTGTCACAGGGTTTTCTAGGCTGTCACCTGTGTGGGAGCACACAGACACATCTTTCTCCCGCCGAGTGCCTGAGGGATTCGAACCACTGACCTTTCGGTTACCAACTGAAGGCATTAACCACTGTGGTACCAGGGAGTCCTAAAACTAAGACATATCAATATCAAATTTTATGCAAATGCTTTTATAAAACTGAATTGTAGAATAATTTTTAAAACATTAAAATGAAGTGCTTTTTATATACTGATCATTGTTGTTGTTAAGTGCCATCAAGTTGGATCGGACTCATAGTGACCCAGTATAGGGTTTCTGAGGAGCGACTGGTGAGTTTGAACCGCCATCCTTGTGGTTCAAATCCACCTTAAAGTCCTGCGCTTATCCTACAGTGCCACACCAGGACTCCTGCTCTGTGTGAAATCACTATATACAGGCAGCTACCAAATTACAAATAAATTCCTAAATCTGCCTGGAAGTCAGTTTGTACATGATTTAGAACAGTTAGGTACAGCTCTCTTACCTAACGTCATTTAGTCAAAAATGGTTCTCTTCATGTGTAGTATATAGAGTACCTTCAGCTGTATAAAAAAATATGGATGAAATGCTTCCAGGTAACACTAAGATTAAAATATTGAGTGTAGCAATATAGTCATAATAATGGTGAACTGTATGCACCCTGAATTTCTAATGTAACACATTCACAAGGGTCAGTCTGTAACTACAGGATGTCCATAAATCGATGTTTGTCACCCGAGGGCTGCCTGTATAAAAAATGCAATTTGAAAGTTAGAACTGGTTCAACATGCTACATTCAAACTCCCTTCTTTAAGGAGCCCAAAGACACTGCCAAATCAACATGCGGCCCATTCATGAGAGTTTGGTGGTGCGCTAGGAGATTTATTACGAATCAGGAGACAGCCATTAGTAACATTCCAAGAAACTTCTCAGTGAAACATCAGTTGGCACTTTCATTCACATCCTGAGACATACACAGAGTTGACCGGAATAAAAACTTTCACCATTGCATGGAAGGATGATGGGCATCTCTTCTGGCAGCATCTAGCACATGTGGGGTGTAAGTGGGCCATAAAGAGGGCTTTGAGGTGAAACAAAACTCAGATGAACTCCAAAGAAAGGGAGATGTTACTGACCATCTTTCATTCTCCTTTTATGAAGAGTCAGAATATAACAACTGTGATTACAGATTTCAGAGGACTTCATATCTAGACTTTGGTGATGCTTACAGACTGGCTCTTTAGGACAGTGATAATCTTACTAAGTTCCCAGGAAATAATTTTCAATATTAATACTATGGTTTCAAAGTTTGTGTTGTTGTTATTGTTAGATGGCACCAGCCCGCTCTGACTCAGTGACCCCATGCACAACAGAACACATCGCTGCCCAGTTCCTGTGTCATCCTCGCCATTGTTGTGATGTTGAAGCTGCATGTTGTAGCCATTGTGACAACCCACCTTGTTGGGAGTGTCTCTTTTATGCTGACCTTCCACTTTACCATGTACGATGTTCTTCTCCCGGGACTGGTCTCTCCTGATAATATGTCTAAAGTACGTGAGATGAACTCTCGCCATCTTGGCTTCTAAGGAGCATTCTGGCTGTACTTCTTCCAACAGAGATCTGTTTGTTCCTCTGGCAGCCCATGTTCTTTCAATATTCTTTGCCAACATCTTAACAAAGGACTTGCACACTTTTTCATTTGTCTACAGAATGACTGTCGGTCAAGTCTAACAGAATCTTCCTTACAATGAAGAGAGGAGACAGAAGAGGGACTTCTGGGAGTCATAAAGCCACTGGATTACACAGCTTGAACACACACCGCTGTGTAAGACAATAACAGTGTAACTCAAATGCAAGCGATTTTCCCAGGGAAAAACACAATCTCTGCGCCATTTTATAACTCCATTTCTTCTCCCCTTAAAACCAATCCCCAAACAACCGAATACATCACTTCCACGTGAGGGAGGAGAGCATCAATGTGTGGAAAGACTGAAGGAGGCCATGACACTGTGATCTGGTCCACTCCCTGCCCAGTGATGTCCACAGTGCCCCCGTACTTCATAACTCCTCTTTAGCGTGCACCCGAGTCTCCTGGGCAGCTCCGTCCTCCTCACTGGGCGCCAGCCACGTGAAATACACCTTCACGGGGTCGATGTTCCAGTGTTTATGGAATGAGATGGGAATCTGGTGAGCAAGGTAATCTTGCGGGTAGTCCACTGGCCGAGCCTATGGGAAGAAGACACATGATTAGAGAGCTGTTCCCCTCAGATTGGTTTTAGGATTTATGAAGCAATTGCTCAGTGTCAATATCTGATATCAGTTATGGCAATCGAGTGGAACACGGGTTGCAATGATTAAGGGCTCAGTTGTTAACTGAAAGGTTGGTCGTTCGAACCTACCAAGCAGCTCCATGGGACACAGACCTGGTGACCAGCTGCCATAGAGATGACAACCTAGGAAACCCTGTGGGGCAGTTCTCCTCTATTACACCAGGGGGCGCTGTGAGTGCATGATATATAAGAGTATATTGGCTGAAAGCAGAGAATATCAGAAGGATGTTTACCTGTGCTTTATTGACTACGCAAAGGCTTTTGATTGTGTGGATCATGACAAGCTATGGACAAC